ATAAAGTATATTCGAAATTGAAAATGTGATTTGTAATAAAAATTTGGATTACTAGAATTAGAAAGTGATTTAAAAAAAATTAGTGGGGCATGAAAAGAAAAAGAGTGAGGTACCTACCTAACGAAGAAAAAAATAAATTGGTGGAGCTCACAGCTAAAGTTTTAAAAATAAAATTTTTAATTTAAAATTTGATTGCCAGAAAGAAACAAATGTATTCAGTTAAGGAAACAGTCTCAAGAACTAAATTAATTGAATATTAAGGACAATAGAAACTTCAGTAAGTTCAATAACAAAACAAAGTTGACTGTTATAGAGTATTACTCAGTATCGAATCAACACAGATCTAATCCAAGTCACCGACAGGGAATAGTAATATAGAAATATCAGCAAGGAGACAAACAACAAGGAGTTATATGACAGATGACAAGTCAGGAACAGAAGTCGTGCTAACAGGTACAGGAAAGAAATAGAAGAGATAAAGGACCAAGAAGAAAAGAAATTGGTCTATTAGACATTAGACAGTAGTAAAGAGGTATAAACCCCTGATATAATACAGACTTGTGTTCAATTTAATATTTAAATCCAAATCTTGGATATTGTTATTTAGTTTAAGTTAGAGCAGAGGAAGTGGCTTAGGTTTAATTTAAGTATACTTCTATTGATAGAAGATTGAAAAATTTTTGATAAATAGTAAAATAAATTAAGTGTTAGCCAATCACATAACTTTGATTTTAATTTGAAACATATTGGATCAGAGTAATTAAATGAATTAGAAATTATTTTTTACGAGAAATAGAATAACTACTGTGGTCAGTTAAAATTCAAATATAATTTTTGTCTTTTTCTTCTCATGATTACCTACGTATCTAAATTCATTAATCGGTATAATATTTTAAAATCAAAATACTAATATTTTCATAACCTTATCCTGAGGTAAGACTATTCATATTAAATAAAAATTTGCTTGAATCTTAAATTATTATTTTTTTCTCAAACAAAGACTTTCTCTATAAACATAACAAACAAAATTTGAATTAAATTACAATTATATGCTCATGTGAGCTGGCGCCCAGACAATAAAGAACAAAAATAGATACAAAGAAGAAGTGAAGCAGAGTAAGAAAATACAGATAAGAAAATTACCATCTCACGAGAATTTATAGCAATATACTACACTATATATAATTTTTACATCTATATATTTTTTACATTTAGGTATATACAGGGTAGCCCATCGAAAACGTCCCGCAAGGCATTACAGGGTAGTAAAGAACTTTTCGGCAAAATCCTGAAACAGGTAAAGTTTGCTTCTGAGGGGGACAACTTTAGGCGCAAAAAGCATAGCAAAATCTTCAACCCCCAAGTGGGGGTGCCATCCCTCAAATTTTTTTAAATGGGAATGGGGGTCAAGTGGGGGGTCATTAGAAAGGGCTTTTAATTTTCTGTACATCGATTCTTACTTTTTGAAAATCGATCCATTATTTTAGAAAATATGCTGCTTTAAAAATACGAACAATATTTTTGACGAGAAATGCGAAAATCGATTTAATATTACTTCAAAACTTACGGTATTAGCTTGGTAAATTCCTTCAAAAGAATTCGCTGTTTTTTTTTCTGATTTGCGAATTCTTTAGCCTGATTTTGGTGAGCAAAAAATTGTCCGCTTTTTGTTTCGTATTTAGATAGGCCACAAGAAGTTGCTAGATAACTGTCTTGTGACTTGTAGTTGAAGAGTACCAATACTGCCGAGTCTTTTAAATTGATTAATTATGGTGTACTCAATTCCAGAAAGAGTAGAAATTATTGAGCTTTTTTTCAAAAACAATGAATGCGGAAATCGGGTCGCCGAACTGTTCAACCAACGGCATCCTGAGAAACATGCGTCTGGAAAAATTGTTCGCGAATTGGTGGCCAAATTTCGCGAAACTGGCTCCGTTCATAACAAAAAGAGGCAGGTTGAAAATCCGGTACTAAATGAACCTACGGAAATAGCGGTATTGGGGCAAGTGGCAATGGATAGTACGCTGAGTACAATGCAATTGGCTACTGCGACAGGAGTGAGTCGTACAAGTGTCCAACGAATATTAAAAAAATACAAATTCCATCCTTATAAGATTCGGCTAGTGCAAGAGCTAAATGAAGACGATTTTGATCGTCGTTTGCAATTTTGCGAAATAATGACTGAACGAGCGATAAACGATAATTTCCTCTTTAATGTGTGTTTTTCGGACGAGTGTACGTTCTTCTTGAATGGTTTAGTGAATCGCCATAATTGTCGTTACTGGGCTGATACCAATCCAAGGATTTTCCATGAGACACACTCCCAACACCCCCAGAAGTTGAATGTATGGGCAGGTATTTTTGGAAATTCCATTGTAGGTCCTTTTTTCCTTCCTGGAAATTTGACAGGCGATATGTACTTGGATTTACTACAAAATGTCATCGACCCAGCTCTAACAAATATCATAGAGGACGACCCTGCTTACAATGAACACGAACTGATTTTCCAGCAAGACGGAGCTCCTCCACATTACTCGCTCAATGTGCGCAATTACCTAAATGAGACGTTTCCAGGACGCTGGATAGGACGAAGAGGTGCAATTGAGTGGCCCCCTCGGTCACCCGACTTAAATCCTTTAGATTTCTTTCTCTGGGGGCACATTAAAAGCAAAGTTTACAGCACTCCACCTGATACCTTGGAAGATCTGCGAGGACGAATCATTAATGTATGTCGCGAAGTAACACCGCAAGTGCTCCAGAATGTTCGACAACGGTTTGAAGACAACCTGTATCATTGTATGCAAGTTGGCGGACAACATTTTCAGCATTTACTTGACTAATACCGTAAGTTTTGAAGTAAAATTAAATCGATTTTCGCATTTCTCGTCAAAAATATTGTTCGTATTTTCAAAGCTGCATATTTTCTAAAATAATGAATCGATTTTCAAAAAGTAAGAATCGATGTATAGAGAATTAAAAGCCCTTTCTAATGACCCTCCCACTTGACCCCCATTCCCATTTGAAAAAATTTAGGGGATAGCACCCCCACTTAGGGGGTTGAAGATTTTAGTATGCTCTTTGAGCCAAAAGTTGTCCCCCTCAGAAACAAATTTGACCTGTTTTTGGATTTTGCCAAAAAGTTCTTTACTACAATGTAATGCCTTGCGGTACGTTTTCGATGGGTTACCCTGTATAATTTTTACATGTTTTTAATTACACTCCATTCCCCCCACAGGGTAAGGAAACGTTAAAAGGGGGTGTTATATTTCTAATTGATTTTGTGTAGATTAGCGTCCTAATCACCAACATTTTTTTTATCCCCTTTAATATTTTCAAATTGGTATCATTTATTGCTGAGAGTTAAGACAGAACCACTTCCTTTTGCTTCCGCCATCTTATATAATAATATAAAAATTTGTTATACTTAACAGTTTTAAATATAATTTTTAGTTCAAATAAATAATTAACATAGAACTTTCGGCTTTTTTATGTGCAATATTCTTATAAAGTTGAAAATGTTTACTCCAATAACGTTTTATGATAATGTTGTATTTTTACTTTACTTAGCTCAAGTTTCATCAATTTTAATAAAATAATTTACGCAAATATTATATTCTTCAAAAACATTGACATTCTATATATCGAAACTAAACCATTTAGAATAACAGTTCTTCGGAAGATTTCTTCTTAAAATGGAAGAAATCACTTGAAATTTTTTTATGTATTTAGGTTACACCCGTGCGTTTATTCCATAAAAAAGAACTTGGAATTTTAGAGTGTTAAATGTGAGTAGGTAAATGATAATAGTCGAGGCAATGACTTTTTTCCATTAGCTTCCAAAAATTTTTTGTAAAAAATGTATCTACTTTGTATCTTATACAAACCGGAAATTGCATTGCTGCAGCCAAAAATACATTCAAAAAATGCGTTTTTTGAGACGGCTTTTGGAAGTTTCTTCTCAAAATTCACGCGGGGAAGGAGAGAAACTCGGCGCCCGGGTTTTTTTTGGGTCGCTGAATTTAAATATGGCATCGGCGAACACCCCAGACACCTGGTGCGCCGGAACTTGGACGTGGACGTCATCCCCGACAAGATCGCCAAAAACAACCCGAAAATCATTGTAGGGGCGTTTTTGGGGGCGTTTAATCCAAATTTCACGTCAAAAACGAACCCCGAACACCTAGTGCACCGGAACCTGGGCCTGAACGTCGTCTCCGAGGGTTTTCCAGACACGGTCGCTAAAGACAAACCGAAAATCGTTATGGGGGTTTTTTGGGGCGCTGAATCCAAATTTCACCCATTTGGACTCAAATTTTACAGGACCGGATCAACTTTTTCGATGGCCCCAGGCGAGAGTTACACATCAATGAATGTGTCAATTTATGAGACCAGGTGTTTGCCGATGCCATATTTGAATTCAGCGACCCAAAAAAAACCCCGGGCGTCGAGTTTCTCTCCTTCCCAGCATAAATTTTGGGAGACTCCCACGGAGGTGACGTTCATCGGCGTTCCTGAGCTTCAAGTCCGCTGTGGGTCAAATTGAACATCATAATCGTGATCAGCGACCTCGAAAACCCCCGGGAATCCGATTTGGGCCAGTTCCGACTCTTATTTACAAAGTTATTAAATCTTCCAAAAGCCGTCTCAAAAAATGCATTTTTTGCATGCATTTTTGGCTGCAACAATGCAATTTCCGGTTTGTATAAGATACAAAGTAGATACCTTTTTTACAAAAAATTTTTGGAAGCGAATGCAAAAAACCGCATTCCGATCCGTCTTAGTGCAAAAAATTCCGAACTTTTGGCCTTTTTAGTGCTTCATTCCCTCGACTATAAAGTGTTAAGATGGTATCCGCCAATCTCAACAAATATCGATATTTAATAAATATCAAGCCACTATATCAATTTTTTATGAGATAAATAAATATGTTGAAATGAAATACAAATATTAATTCATATATCAGTACTCAGCTATACAGTCACAAACCTCAGAACGGGTAAAGATAAAAGTAAACGAAGGTCTGTACAATACATATCGGTCTGGCTGGGGAAATACACAAATATGAGTCATGCATAGGTATCTATCTATAATTCATTCATTCAAGATAAGTTTAACAGTGCTGTTTTAGTGTCATTGCGCTGATCCTTCGCAGCACCTATTAGTAAGTAAAAAATATGTTAGATAGTGGTAACTTTCTAATAAACACATTTATTATTGAATAAGAACGAATAACAAATTTACAATACCTATCCAATTACATAAGTACCTACGTTTAAAGCAGGAAACTCAGTCATTATGAACGGCCGGCTCGGCAACGGACGGAACGAGACGGGACCGGACCGGACGGTCACGTACTGTAGTTAACTCATTTGTAACAGCCAGTACGTCACCGAATTGGAAAGGAAGCGAGTAAACAATGGAGAGCTCGTCGAAAGAAGAGCTAATAGTAGTAAGTAATGACAGAGTAAATGATACAGATACTAGTTTTGACTGGATATCCGTTCGTCTTGAACGAATTTTATTCCCCTCTGGAAATTCCGGCCGGACCGTTGCCTTGCTGGACTGTGCCGAACTGAGCCGAGCGTTTGTAATGGGTTGCATTTCATTGAAATACATGTAAACGAATTTTACCGGTACTGTGCCGTCCGGTCCAGTGCCGACCCGTCCGTTCAAAATATAATGAGTTTCCTGCTTAAGGATATGAGTACACAGTGTTCCAAAAAAGAATATGCCATATTGGAGAAAATTTATTTTGACTAATTTGAAATGAAAACTTTTACATGGAATTACACGAAATCAATTAAGTATTTTTACGGACATTTTTGAAAAGTCATTAATTCTAAAATTGTTTTCAAATCACTCAAACAAAATTTTGATAGAAGCATTTTCTAAGGATTTTGAATTATATAAATTGCATTTACTAACAGCTTTATCCTCAACTTTTTGTATTTTATAATTTTGTTTATATTGAATATTATTACAACATTAAGAGGATCTTTAAATTATGTCAAAATAAAAAAGGAATAGTGTTTACTTTTTTCTAATGTTTTCTTAAATATAATTTTAGAATTATTATGTAGAATGTAAATTTTGTTTTTAGATAAACGGCATTTTTTTTTATAAAGTCCGTATTATTTCAATAATTGTACACAGCCTTCATAAATGTTTACAAGCCACGTGACCGCCGAGCTTAGGCAACCCAACATTGCACGATTGCTACTAGTAACACAGGCCGACAAAATTCCAAAAAAAAAAATTCCAGAGATCAGACCCTACGCTTCCGAAGGAATTTGGCGCGCTGAATCCGAATCTGGCCTCAGAATTGATCCATCACCCTAGGTTTCCGAGATATTCTAACCTAAAAGTGCAAAAAACACGTACTTTTGCTATATTCAAGGTTATGTAACTTGGCGAAAAAAATTTTTTTCTTAAAACTGAAAACATCATTGGAAACGACTATCTTTCCCCTTCAAAACGCATTTTTTTATTTGGAAAAAGCTCTATTTTTCGCGGAGATATCGTCAATTTAAGATGACCAGTATGGCTATATTATTACATCATGGCTAACCCCATAACACTGAGCGCTGCTAGCCCTAATTGTTAGGAACGTTAACCCCAAGCCCTATAACCCCACAACACTAAGCGGAGCGAGCCCTCATCGTCAGGAAGGTTAACTTCAAGCCCTATAACCCAATAACACTAAGCGCTGCGAGCCCTAATCGTCAGGAAGGTTAACCCCAAGCCCTATATGTCTGGAAGGTTAATCCCAAGCCCTATAACCCCACAACACTAAGCGCTGTGAGCCCTAATCGTCAGGAAGGTTAACTTCAAGCCCTATTACCCAATAACACTAAGCGCTGCGAGCCCTCTAAGGCTCGTAGCGCTTAGTGATATTGTGTTATAGCCATGGTTTAATAAGGAAGCTATACTGATCATCTTTAATCGACGATATCTCCGCGAAAAATAAAGCTTTTTACAAATAAAAAAATGCGTTTTGAAGGGGAAAGATAGTAGTTTCCAATGATATTTTCAGTTTTGAGAAAAAAAATTTTTTCGCCAAGTTACATAACCTTGAAAATAGCAAAAATACGTGTCTTTGCACTTTTAGGTTAGAATATCTCGGAAACCTAGGGTGATGGATCAATTCTGAGGCCAGATTCGGATTCAGCGCGCCAAATGCCTTCGGAAACGTGGTGTCTGATCTCTGGAATTTTTTCCTTGTTGGCCTGTGAATTAATGACTCGTTTACAATTACCAATGACAAAACCGTTACATTACGCTCGAGATAATGCGATCGCGGATTGGCTGTAAAATTATATCAATCACAGCCGGTGAAACCTTGATTTTACTATTTTAATAATTTTAACTTAACGAAATTTAATGGCCAACATGAAGAAAATAAAGGTACTGTTCCAAACGTGGCTTGTAATCATTTATTCTGTTCTGTATGATCTGTTTCATGCTCTTATTCAACATTTTTAATATTTCCAGTACCGATTACTTTTTAAAACCAATAAACTGACAATGGTTTTCTAAAGTTCGTTTTACGTACATGTGGTTGATAGTGAATCAGTGGTATATTACAATACCTATTGTTTCTGTAATCGTGACCATTGGCACGCCAACGATACCTTTAAAATTATCCAACAGTATTCCGTTTTTTTCTCACAATTTAAATATAGAGAGTGAAGAAACAAAGTTACTGATAATAACAGCTGTCAAAATCGGTCCGCTAGGCATTGGCACCGTCGCCGTCGGTCAACTACGCGAGCTGCCGAGCTGTCGGTTTAGTCGCCGATTTCCCTGTAATCGAACGATTTCTTTTACTATTTTGGTTGTCTCTTGATGCAAAATTGTGTGTAATTATGTCGAGCATAGTTGGTGCTAAAAAACAGCAAGCAATTCATATTATACTAACTAAAAAAAAAACAAATTTACCGGGAAGTAGCTATAAAATTATTAACATAAAAACTATTCAGGTGGAAAACAAGACGGAGATATATTTTTTGGAATAGAAAAGAATTTTGTGAAAGTAAAGGAAAATAGTGAGTTCTAAGAATATCTATTTAAGCTGCTCCCTTCGTTTAAATGTTTGATTTTTTATTTATTGTTTTTCTATAAAATTAATAAAAAAGCACGGAGTAATAAATTATGTACTCAGATCAGCATTGCAGCTTTATCAGTAGTAAATTTGTCCAACAAAGCGGCACTCAACACATGTTATTTCAACTGCGTGTGGTCATAGGGAAAGTTAAATAACGAACAATATTTTCTTTTACTAAAAAAATATAAACAATAATGTAATTCAGTATATACATACTTGTATATGTATAAAAACGTTTAAAATAAACATTAATAAACGTAAAGTAATAAGTATTAAACAGTGCACAACACACGTTTAAAAAAATTGATAAAACCAGAAGACTCAATTTATGTTGTATTTAATCTTTATACCTACTTACTTGATATAGTAAATAATAAAACATTTCATTCCCACTGGAATAAATACAACACCGAGTGGAAATTACCAACCAGCTTGGAAATAGATTATTTAATAATGCAAATATTACATCAGTAAATGTCGAACGGTCGTTCTATTCAGATTAAGATATTTTATCACCACCGCGAATAAGTTTCACTGAAACATAATGATGCGATCTATAACGGATCCCATCCAGATTGTGGAACCGATGGCAACGACGCCTAAAACAATTTACGTGTTTCACAATGATACAATGACATACAATGACATAAATCTTATCATCATTCTTCACTTTATTTTGTGTTGATGAACCGCACGCCCTTGGTGCACGGCCAATTATGACAACTCTATTGATAATTAATATTTTAAGGATATAAATAAATAAGGTAACTTTTATAAACCCTTAAAAGTCTCTAAAAAGAAGAAAGAATCATGAAAACTTTTTCGTTCATTTTCATTGTTTCCTTGCGGCACACTTTTTTGAATTCCAATAAATTTTTATTTTACTAAATTTGAAAAACACTTAAAACGTCTGTATCTCGAAAACGGTTTAGTTTATCGATGTGTAACTAGTTCACCTTTTTTATTTAGAATTGACCGTAGTTCAATAATTTGTAATTAAAAAATTCAAAATTGTAAAATACAAATAGTTAGACAGATTTTTACATTGATAGGACAGTATAACTAGCGCCCTCTAAACGTGACCCCAACACTGTTTGCATATTCGTATTTGCTTCCTCAAAAAACGTAAAACTACAAATTTTCAAAACAATCGGTATATACATACTTAAAATATAGATAAAAAAGGAAAATATTTTTTCAACTTTAACACCCTGTAGAAGGAAAAGGAGCAACAATTGATTAAGGCATGTTTGGCTCAATCACTATATTTTGACGTTAACAATCTGCCATTAAGCTGTGTACCATTATTAATGACTCACCCTGTATAATATTTTGGTTCAATTTTACAGTAGGGATTACTAGTACTACCAACACTAGCAAAAAAATATAAGTTTAAAATGCATGAGGTGGCTGGGGGCATGATTTAATACTTTTTAGAAATTTATGCAGAGCATGGGTCATACTGCTTCCTTCGCATCGCAGTAGTGTTCGAATGTTCATAATACATTTCAATAAGAATCATTTTAACGCTACAAAAATATAGAATGTTAAAATTTTCCAAAACCTTTCTTTTTTTTCTAATATAGAATGTTAAATTATTCATTAATATCGATAACATCATTAACATCGATAAGAATAATTTCAATATAAACTGTTTTATTAATAACCTTTTAAAATGTTTATTATTATTATTATGTATGTTTTTTATTATTACAATATTCATTATTGTATTTGGCTTGTAATATCCATTATATTTTCACTTTTTAATAATTTCAGTTCAAGTGATATCTGTTTTATATGTAACTTTTTAAAATGTTTTATATTATTATTATGTATGTTTTTTATTTTTGTTTCTCTGTTGGGCAAATAAATTAAATTATTATTATTATAAGAAATTTTGTCTACACAATACATAATAAAGCCCTACTTAAAATGAAAAAATCCAAGTCTCATCTAAATCCAGTAAGTAGGTACTGGGTATGCTGTTTATACTTTCCTCAGAATTGTGGTATGCCGCTGAAAAAAAATCTGCATTTTAAATTCTGCCTTGAAAATTACATCCCTTGTCTCAATACATTTTTCGATACGTTTTTCCACGTATCCTCTTACTATTTTAAAAATACCCATTTTCCTGAACTCCCGGTAAGTTAAAATCGAAGTGTTTTCGAACATATCTTTATATGATAAATATATTATTAAATTTAAGCGAGGAAAACGCGCTTCAATTTTTGTCACGTTAAATTATTACACCCTCTATGTATATTGATTGCTACAATATTTCTGTCATTTCAGGTACCATGACTGAATCACTATCTACCTCTAACCATGTACCAGGTAATATTTGTATATCTTAATGGGTTATTTTTTTCTATTTTATTATTACCTTCAAAACATTATACAGGGTGGCCAAATGAAAGCGAAATAGAGCCATTTTTAGGAACTGCGTCAAGATTGTAGAAAAACACTCAGACACGTCGATTTTAGATTAAAGGGGAATATTCGTCGCTGGTATTTTTGACTCCGCCTCTTTCACCCCCAAGCGAGGGTAAGCATCACCCCAAAATATTTAAATGGCATTGGGGGTTGAGTAATATTTCTTTTAAAACCTCTTACAATTCTCTTTACAACAGACTTTAAATTTTATAATTACGCCCAATACTTTGTAAAAAATTTACATTTTAAAATTTAAATTATGTTTAGTTGCTTACTTACTGCTTACTTAGTTGATTAAATGTTCAAACTGATGACCGCCCGCTTCCATACAAGAATAAAGATTTTGGTCTAAACGTTCGCGCTCATTCCGAAGCATTTCCGGAGTGATCCGACGGCATTCGCCGACGATTCTTTGACGCAAATCTTCCAGCGACGCTGGCTGTGTTTTATAGATTTTACTTTTTAGGTATCCCCACAAAAAGAAATCAAGGGGCGATAAATCCGGTGATCGTGGAGGCCACTCAATGCTGCCTCTTCTCCCAATCCAATTCAGTAGAAAACGCTGGTCCAAATACTGACGGACAATTAACGCATAATGCGGAGGAGCACAGTCCTGTTGAAAAATCAAATGATCTTCATCATACTCTGGAACATTTTCGATAATATCAGTCAAGGCAGGGTCAATAGCCTCTTCCAGTAATTGCAAATACATTTGGTCAGTCAAATTATCAGATAGAAAAAAATGATCTACCAGCCGGTCACCGAAAATTCCAGCCCATACATTTAATTTTTCCGGTTGCTGTGTATGCACCTCGAGAAATACTCTTGGGTTTGAATCGGACCAATAGCGGCGATTGTGGCGATTTACCGTCCCGATCAAGAAAAAACTGTACTCATCAGAAAAACAGATGTTAAAAAGGAACTGAGGATCGTTCCCTGCTCGCTTACTCATTATTCCGCAAAACTGCAAACGACGGTCATAATCATCCTCATGAAGTTCCTGGACTAAATGTATTTTGTATGGATGGAATTTATTCTTCTTAAAAATGGTTTGTATGCTAGTTCGATTGGTCCCAGACACAGATGCCAGCTGCCTCGTACTTAATGTAGGATCAATATGAACTTGTCCCAAAACTGCAACTTCACTAGCTTCATTAACTATAGGTTTTTCAATTTCTCGTTTTTTATTGGATACGTTCTCTGTCTATTAGACTACTAACTCTAGAACATACTTCCTCCCAACATGTCGATCTTGATGTTGTTCATTAAATAGCCGAGCTGTTCTATTCGTTCATTTATTGTTCATAAAGTAAAGTGAAATTATATCTTATTATATCCTTTCCGCAATGGAATAAACCATAGTGTTTAATTTTCAAAAACACAATTAAATAAACCAACCAACGCTTCCAAATAATAACAGAAAATAATTTGGAATCCACTAATTTTACGTTCATTGTATGTGTGTAATAGCATTCATTTATGTTTTTTACAATTGTGTTTTTTTACGAAAGTGATAACCAATTGCCAAAAACCAGTGTAACGCAAGAGATACTAAGTTTATACCATTGGCGTACTTAACTCGAATGACTGACATTTTTACCATTACTAGTTGTTTGTGATGCTTACCCTTGCTTGGGAGTGAAAGTGGCGGAGTTAGAAATACCAGCAAAGAATGTCCCCCTTTAATCTAAATTCGACGGGACTGAGCTTTTTTCTACAATCTTGACGCAGTTCCTGAAAATCTCTCTGTTTCGTTTTCATTTGGCCACCCTGTATGTTATTTTACTAATATGGATATACAGGAAGTTTGGAAAAAGATATCATCCAGGGAGCAGGTATAATATTAAAAAAAAAAAAGATTTTTGTAATTTTGTCATTTACAAATAACAGCGTAACATCATTTTCTGAGGTTTTTTTTACAACGGTATCTTTGTCCAAAACATTGTATAGATATGGAGTGTTTCTAGACTTATTTCATAATCATTATGACGTAATATCTTAATTTTTATAGACAAAATGAACCGAAGGTACTAGTTCTCGAAAGATTTATTTTATATTTATTCGACTATGCGATAAGTCGTTTAGATTGGTTACATTGTTTAGATTGTGTTAGATTGATGAAACGAAATTCAAAATTGTAATTGCACTGGTTTCTTTAAAGGTGTATTTCTTGCTAATAAACGATTGCTCCTAATTTCGTTTATCATTAAGTTGAAAATAACTTTTAAACAAATTATTTTATGCATTTACAAATTTAAATGCAATTCTGTTGAAAACGGTTGGCTTTAGAGATATTAGCAAGGTATACCTTTTTTAAGCAGAAAAGTTGGATGAAAAGATTTTTCCAGCCCAAAGTGAAATACACCGTGGCACAAAAATGGTTTGGCAGTTTAAATGCGTCCTAATGGTCGCTTGTGGCGCCCTCTAGAAATTTCTCATCTCAAAAAACCACCGGATACGTAAGGACCCCGCACAAACCTTATGGAAATGGATCCCCGGTGGATCTCTCTCAAATTTTGGGAATGAACTCTTCAGAGCATCTTGATCAAAAGTTCACATGGGAACAAAACCGGGAAACCGCTCCCAACCCCCCAAAACTACCTCCAAATGTCAGGGACTCATTATACCACCAAAAAAGTATCAGACCCACACATGCAATGTATGGTTTCCGGTGTATTTTTGAGCGCTGGACACGAATCTGTCATCATTTTTGCTCTAGCACGTATCAGTCCTCAGCAAATCGCTGAAGAAGCTTCAGAGAAATAAAAAAACATTGTGGCCTGTGATTCACATGCGACATGTGGTTTCCGGTGTATTTTTGCACGCTGAGCATGATTCTGAAGTCAAATGTGCTTCAATTACCTTAAGATTTCAACTAATCGCTGAAAGTAAGAAAGAACACCATGGTTCTTCAGTGGTGTGTACATATCGCATGTGAATTACAGAACACAATGTTCTTTCTTCTGTTTTTGAAGCTTCTTTAGTTATTAGTTAAAGACTTAAGGTAATTAAAGCACATTTGACCTCAGAATCTTGCTCAGCGTGCAAAAATCGACCAGAAAACTTCTTTCTTCAGTGTTCTGAAGCTTCTTCAGCGATTTGCTGAAGACTGATACGTACTAGAGCAAAAATTATGACGTATTCGTGTCCAGCGCTCAAAAATACACCGGAAACCATATATTGCATGTGTGTGTACTGATACTTTTTTGGTGGTGTGTTATAATGAGTCCCTGATCTTTGGGGGTGATTTTGGGGTGTTGGGAGCTGTTTCCGGGTTCTGTGCCCATGAGAACTTTTGATCAGGATGCCCTGAAGAGTTCATGCCCAAAATTTGAGAGAGATTTACCGGGGATCCATTTCCATAAGGTTTGTGCGGGGTCCTTTCACGAAATTAGCTCGAAGTAGTGGAAATATATTAAAAAAGTGTTATTTATTTTTTTTAACTCTGACACCATTATTGTCAATTTATGAACTACACTGTAATAAAAAAGTATGGGCAAATTCCTCCATGGTGACCTGTTGCCATGGAATGTTCAAGTATTTATGTAATATTAAATAAATCCTGTAAAATGTACAGTGATTATACTCGTACATGAATTTTACTTAAACATTCCATGGCAACAGGTTACCATGGAAAGTTCGAGGAATTTTACCATACTTTTTATTACAGTGTAAGGCAAGTTTAGTTAAATCGACTTATTTTGAGCCGTATTATATGGTGGAGCGTTGTATAAACCCTTTAGAGCACCCTGTATATTCTACTGGCACTTTTACACATGCACATGCCACATGGTACAATGTTTGTATAAATGCATAAATAAATTCATTTATTCGCCAATGATAATGTGTTTTATTTTATCCATTATTACTACTTTAATTTTCAACGTGTCAGATGTTGGCTTTGTGGAAAATTCTGTAAATATTAAATCTGTACAAATTATATCCCGAAAATGACTTGTTTTTCTTAGAAATTAAAGTTTTTTGGTTCAAAATAATTCAGGAAAAACAACTCCTTATGTTATGACGTAAATTTAGAAAACACCCCATATTACTATTTCGTGATTATACACAACACTTTAACGTTAGCACTAATATACTAATAATCTGTTCTTGCAGATGATGAATTCGATTTGGAATTTAACGATACTGTAAACATAACAACGACATTAGAGAGACTTAAAGAGTTCTCCTACTACCTCGTGGAAAATGTGGAATTAAACCTGAATCTATGTCTCAGACTTCTAGAAGAAAGGGAAGTGCCCAGCAATCCAAACAGCATTTATACAACCGCCTTCAGCAAATTACTTTCTACAGTACCTAAAGTAGGCTCTGCATTAAGCAGCGCTGTGACCAAAGGCGAAATAATAATATTCGACAAAATAGACAAGACAAACTCGAGAGCTTTAGCCGATTTGGTTTATTATTTCAGTGACCATGAGGAAGAAATCCGAAATATACTAATCGAATCATCTGTTGATATATTCTTCAGTTTCGAACATCAGTTTACCATGCTAAGCTGTAACGGAGGACCTAAAAGAGCAATGCAGAAACTCGCCAAAGACGCTTCTGACAGAATATTCAACTACTTCCTGGAAACTGAGCAGAACAAAAGTGCCACACGGACAGAAATAACGAAAGGAGTGCTATTTGGAGACTCAAAAAGAAACAAAGCTGGTTTGAAACAAGGGAAAACAGTTGTGAAAGACGACACGAAATGGAAAACTTGTAAACTATACCGAAAAACAGGAATTGTGATTGTTGAAGAACAAACTTTTTTTAAAAACAGCAACTGTAAGACGGAGAAATACGGACATAGACGATTACTACCTTGGGAAAATCCAGAAGACATTAAAGGGACTTGGGAATCAGAGACGGGTTTCCAGGTACCAAATTACATGCTGACTGTTAAAGAAGATATTTTAAAGACTGTGAGGGACTACATAATGACTAAAAATCCATTCGAAAATGCAAAACTGGAAAGAGAGAATTATAATAATGAAGCTACGGAAGATCGTAACCTGAAACACAAAGAAGTACTAGCAACTTTTCGAGAACACTTCAGAGAATTATTAGAAGAACTGGAACAACAATATAAAATTATAGCTCACAACCATTGTGAAAGTAAACATTTAGTGGTAGAGATTTCAAAGAACCAAGGGGAAGAGGGGGTTTTCCACCAGGAAATCAGTACGAAGCTTGAAGAAATAAAAAAAGATATAAATGATACTAAGGTTCTAATAGAGCGCAGTGAAACTATGCGCTCAAGGGCTTCTGTTGTTCAAGTTGAATCGAGTGACTCTATGTTGACAGTCGAGGAAGTCAAGGAAATAGTTAAAGAAGAAACCAGTAGGGATTTACAAACACAAATAGTTGAGCTAGTGAAAAAAAAACTAGCAAGAAACGATCCCGGTCCAAAAATAAAAAGGGAAATTAATAGGAGTTTAAAAAAATTAAAATGGTAGAAAAAAATTAACCCAGTATTCATAAAACGCATTTTGGTTATTTGATAACGAGACGAATTAGAAACTGTCAGTCAATTAATTAGTAATTGCAAACCTAGTTTAAATAATATCCACAGTGTAAGATTGGTTAAAAAACATTAATAGTTTTTTTTTTAATATACTATGTTACTACCTACACTAGCAATTTAATGCTTACTCCACAATTATTATGTCCAAGTAGCTTCCCAGAATTACCACCAATGAGATTTTAATTATATTGGTTTGGATTTCTTCCGATTTGCGTTAATTATAGAAAATATAAGTTACTTAAATATTTGTTTGTCCACATCTCACTTACATTAAAACAGTTTTGTGATGTGGACATGTATTTAAACAATTCGACCCAACTCAGCTGTGACTATCTGGTCATTATTGACCGCACATAATCCCAGATAAACTGCGGCCAATTTCAATTAACTCAAATCCCGACAACGTAGAATGTAACTAACGTTACCAATAATGCAATTATCGGCTATTGACGAAATCTTTAGTGAAATCATAAATGTGCAACCCTAATACGGTTATATTCACCAAACATAGCCACAAGTTCAGGTTCGCTAAGTTGAAGACTCGTATGTTAAAATATTGTATTTTAAGTTTAATTCTGTGCCCATTTAGTGCTAATTTGTTTTGTACAATTTTGAGATATTTTGAACACTAAAATGGGTCAACAACTTAACGTTGCGTCGCATACATAAAAATTTAAAAATTTTAATTGCGGTTTAAACATTTTGTGCCTTACCTTTTCTTGAGGAATTTTTGGAATAATAAATAGATAAAAAATTACTCGACCTTTTAGAAATTAAGCAAATTACCCCGTTAATTCGGTGCCCTTCTTTGCATCACTTTGCTGAGTGGGAACGCACCGGCGCACCACAGAGCGGTCGAACGTTGAAGCGAAACAGCTGATTTCCACAGTCGTTTTGAATTTTTCACTTTCAAACTCAAAGTGCAGCAGATCCTTATTTTATTAACAAAGTACTATGAACGGATGAGTGTTTTCTAGCCATACTGTCATTTTAAATAGGTAAACTTTGAAATGCAATAAGTCACACAATAAGGTATATGTACGTACTACAAACTGAATAATTAATTGAACATAATACTGAAAATTCATATTATATTTAATTATAAAACATAGTGAAAACGTTAACAATATTAAAAATACTAAATTAAATAACCTAACATAAGAAAATAATTATTAGCGTCATACATTTGTTTTTATTAACAAATAAATATACCTACTTGTTAATATTTAAAATATAAAAAATATCATATTCATTCATGTGTCTCTTTTCGTCGTTCACTACAAATTAAAATCGCAGTAAAGTAAAAGCTACGTTAATGACCGTCAAAATTCACTCTCAATAAACCTTTGTAGGTCAGCGGTCAGGAGCGGTCCGAAAAGGCGTTTAAATAATAATCTGAACATATTTTTTTTCGGCATAATTATGCATTTCAAAATTTTTTTATTCGTGTATTTGTATTTTAAAATTGCAGTAAAAGCTAGGTTTGTGACCGAATACATACTTTTTTTCGGCATAAATATTAATTTTAAAATGTTTTATTCGTGTATGTGTACTAATTTTTACCTATATTCCCTTAAAAATAATGACATTATGACCTAATCACTCTGTATATATTTTTCTACAATTATATATTAATTCCATTCACAAGGAGGCTATCCTGAGGTAATTAAAATGTGTAAACAAAAAGATCTCTTTGTAGTAGCTCTTTTTTACGTATTCGTCTTTGTCAAGGGTGAGAACACTGAGAACTACAAAAATACGAGGTATTTCTTTGCATTATTCAACAATTACATTGATCAGGTACGTGTTATAAATTAATTATATACATCATCATTTATAGTTTTTACTTTGGATAATAATTTATTACTAGCTGTTTACTTGCTAGCATAATTCAATGATAGTTCGGGTATGTAGCCCATAGAGGAGCTGTTTCTCTCAATATCAACGGTTAGAAATCTTGTCTCAGGGGTTAGATATCTTTTGCATACCATACCTAGATTTTTAGTATAGAAAAACATTATTCATAAGATTTTTTTAAAAAAGAAGAATTGGATTTGCTTGAACCTTAAGGACCTGTAAAACTAAATACGAAGTCGTGATACTATAATACTTAGCTGAAATTATGAAAATATTAACTCCATTATTCCAATTTCTGCTAACTTATCTAGGTCAGGACAGGTCTCTAAATCAGATTTTTAATAAATGATACAGTGGAAATAACGATTTTACGGACTAGTGCCTCGACTATCCCTTCTGAAAGCCTGTACAGGGTGATTCACTATATTTTGACCCGCCCATTAACTTTTTTGTTTTTAGAGTTATAAAAAAATGTGAAATACAAAAGTTGCACGATTTTTTATGAAGTTTTCGAAAATAATAGAAAAAAACAAATAAAGTCCAAACAAAATGGCCGCGGATGTTAACTTTGTTAATTTAAATGGAACACGCTGTATATTTTACATGTTTGTACAAAACGTTTCGTGTCGAACATAGAACATATAGAGTTTGTTGGGCAGTGGTTGTTCCTTTTCACCGGAATATTGGGACAGCTTGTAAACTACCTATCAATTTGGTTCAATAAACTTGTTTTTTTCATCTGTTTCCAAAATCAAGACTATAATATTGGGATCTTAGTATTCGTTTTTCTTGTTTTAATTTGTGCTATTTATGTGTTTTAAATCTTTTACTTAACTTAACTTGTTTAGTTTGTCCATTTGCTTGCTTTTTACGATTGTTTTTGTTTTATTATCTTAACTTTATATATGTAAATACAATGTATGTAATTAGCCTGCCCGGTAATTGGTATTTAGCTGTTGGGCAGATGTATCTTAAAATAAAATAAAATAAAATAAAAATAAAATAAATTTGACTACACATCGTCCCCTCTTAAATTTCTTGAAAAATGATAGAGCATACCATTTTTAAACCTCGGCACAAATTAGTACAAAATGCTCAAATAGTTAAAATGTTTAGTGTTCAAAATATTCGATTACAATATTTATAAAATATAATTTAGCAAAAAATGAGCACAAAATTTTAGTTATTAAATCATAGCAGTCGAGTTTATATTTGAGTTTCCAACTTAACTTATCTCGTAAATTCTCAGTAGGCATCGCTTTTAGTACATAAATTTATGTAAAATCTTATAGCATTTATATTTATATATTTGCCTGTGGAATAGAATGCAAATGATAGCAAGAACAAAAAGCCATTGATCTATAAATCGACTACAACATCTAAGATAGTCGTAAAGTTGGTTGCCTAAACTATCCTGCTGAATAAAATGACTGTTACCGTTGAGTCAGATTTCCTCACTCAACGCTTGTCTATGTATAATAGGCTATAACTGACAAAGTGTAAGAGGATTTTATATTTCGGGAATAAAGAACAAAACGAGAAATTAATCATCGTACATGGATTTATTATTTTTCAAAATATTCTCCATGAGCAATCAATACACTCTTGCATGCGCTTGAACTAATTTTCGAACCACTTTTTCCATTCCGATTCAGGTAACCCCAAAACTTGCATTTTGGACCGCATTTTCTTGCGTTGAAAAACGTTGACCTCGTAATTTATTTTTGATGTACGGGAATAAAAAAAGAGTCATTACGTATCAAAACCGGTGATTGTGTACCATTCAGAACTGACTGTCTGACGTTGCACTAATGTGCTGTTACTACATGTTGTTAATTTCGATTTTTAGAAGTGCTTGTACACGAACAACTTGGGAAAGACCCAAATAAATTGTTGTTTACTTTCGGGCTCCTGCGCATAAATCTATGATTCGTCATCTGTTACGATGTCATAGACGTGTTATAAAGTAAAGTAAAAGGCAGTGAAGTACACAACCGTTCCACCCGATACCGACACCTGTACTTGGTTCCAGAACACAAATCTGCTCAATTTCAAGATTCTTTTTCGTATAACGCTGCGAAGATATTTAACAAAATCCCTAACAATATAAAATGAGCACCAACTATTTTGTCGTTCCGTAAGCAGATGAAGCAGCTTCTCGTATCACGAAGAGATTTATAGGCGCGCACATATGTACCGAAAATGAATCCAACCCCCTCGTCAACCCTCAGCACACTCTGCCACTCACATTTATTTTGTTTTCAGCAGCCTAGAAAATGTAGGCATACACAACCCACTTGACTTTGTATGAAAATTGACACTTCAACCCCCATAAAGGGGTGCATGCAAGAAGCTTAAAATATGTGCAGCTCTCCATAAATGATGACACGTAACAAACCTCACACTTCACTGGCGCAATGACCAATTAGATTGCACGGAGCTGTTGTCAGCGAATGATACTCCAATGGTGTTATACCTACATCTACTACATTAATTATACAGGGTGTCCCGGTACTTGATACAGAAAAGTCGAGTACAAATAGATGAGGTCAAAATAATATCAGTTCTTTATATAATTTTTTTTTCATACGAATCTTCATACACAAGTTACGGGCCCTCAAAGGTGAAAATTAAAAAGTTATAAACTTCATTATGCCCAGAACGCCAGGGACGGACTATACCCAATGGTTAACAACCCAGAATTTTTGCATAAATGACAATCACAATCTGCCTGTATCAAAACTAAATTACGTGAAGAATTTGCCAACGATAATACCTACCCTCTTGGTTCATCTCGGTAAAATTAACAGGTTAGAAAATATATGTGATTTTATGTCACAGTGCACATCGTGCGGCGTCTCCACCATTTTTTGTTTTAAATTTTTAATTGGACATAATTACTATGTTAGAACCGTACATATTTTTAAAATAAGAGCTTAGAAAATCTTACTGTGTGCTAATGTAATTTTCGCTATCAAAATTTGACAAACACACTTTACACATAACATAAAATAGAAAATCAAAACAAAGTTAAAGTTAAAAAAGTAATTTAAATGAAAGAAAACTATCAAAATACATTTTCAATATGGGCACCCTCCACCTCCACACACTTCCTAAGTCTACGAATGTTATTTGTTAGTACACGAAAAAGCATTTCTGGGGTAATAATTTAATAGTTAATACGTTTTTGGGTAACGTCTGAATGGACATATTTGGAGTTTTTGCAAAATAATTTGCAGCCACTATTAGACG